GTGGTCTCCTTTGCTGGAAGTCAGGTCGCCAACCCTGACTCCTGTCTGATCCACGGCTCAGAATCCCTTCTTCAGCCAGCTCTGCTTTCTGTTCCGCGTGCCTAGTCGTCCTCCCCGGGGGAGAAAAACAAGCCAGCAGAAACGTGCATCTCAGTTTAAAGACTAATTTCCTCGCATTCTAGCATTTCTCAAAGTAAATTGTATCTTACAGTCATGGTCAAGGGAAACGTCACCAGGAGATGCAAGAGAGTGCTACAGAGGTGTCCACGTGAAGCCTAGGAAATGGTGTCCTCTCTGTGACTGCGGTGGGACTGTGTGTAAGGGAGCATTGAGTGTGGTTGATATTTTTAGTTAAATCTGAAAACAGCTGGAGCTGCAGCTCTGTGGTGAGCACTTGCCTAGCACTCCAAAAGCCCTGCGTTCATCCCCAGCACTGAAAAAGAAATAAAATAAAATAAAACTCTGGAAACGTATTTGTCACTGGAGAAATTGAGCTCTAGCCAGGGATTTAGCTCTGTGGTGCCACCGCCTGCCTGGCAAGCGCAAGTACCCGAGTTGATCCCCAGTACCAAAAAAAAAAAGAGCTCTAATGCAATAGTGAAATTTAGCATGTACATACAGTAGGAGAAGATCACAGGTCACAGGCACTGGTGGAGTCAGGGGCTTTGCTACCAAGGACCTGGCTGCCCTAGTGCTCCTTCCTGCCAGACACAAAACATGCAGAGGAGGAAGAGCGGTCCGTGGCGTCTGTGGACCAAGGGATCTTTCCCTGAAGGCTGCTTTCCTTCACATGTCACCTACCACATGGTTTAAGCCTGTTTGGCCCTGAGCTGATCACCAGCAAGGCATTGGCAACTCTGGATTTTGATTTGCTGTCCCCAAGAGAGCCAACATGGAGCCTGGGATGCCATCCACAGTCACATCCAAGAATCCTGTCCTAGCAGAAGCTGGCCGACCGATTTGGGGACTGCAAAGACCATCATTCAGGTACCAGATATCTGTGTGAGAGGCTACAGAAGCAGTGGCACAATGAATAAGAACTCACTAAAGGGGAAACTAAGAATGCACTGCTCACATACATGCTGGAGAATTATCCTGTTGGTACCAATACTCTCAGTTTGAACAGGAAGGACACAGAACCCCCTGCCAACATGAGGACCAAAGGGATTCCATTCCTTAGGCTCTGAGTGTAACAAAACTGAATGACGTTTTTCTTTTTTGAGCATGTAGTTCATGCTGGACTTGAATTCACTATGTAGCCTAGGATGGACTCAAACTCATGGCAATCCTCTTGACTCAGCTTCCTGAGTGTTGGGATTACAGGCACACACCACCCCACCTGGCAAAACTTGAATTTTTATATGCATAAATGTAACAGAATGTGACCATGATAGAATTAACACCACACTTCAGAGGAGTTATGATTTAAATAATTACTATTGGGCTGGGAATACAGCTCAGTGGCACTGCACTTGCCTTGCAAGCACAAGGTCCTGAGTTCAGTCCCTGGTACAAAAAAATATATATATAATTATGATTGTTGCTAAGAAAATATCTAAAAAGCCCCCTAGCTTCATTTGCTCTTTTTTCCCCCTGCAACACTGGGAATCGAACCCAGGGCTTTCACCATGCTAAGTAAACACTATAACTGAGCTACATCTTTGGCTATTTGTGTTATTTTATTTTGAGGCAGATTCTCACTTAGTTACTCAGACTGACTAATTTTGAAAACTGTAGTCCCAACACTTGTGAAGCTGAGCCAGGAGGATTCCCATGAGCTTGAGGCCAGCCTGGGATATATGGTGAGTTCAAAATCAGCCTGAACTACAATTCGAGACCCTCCCCATTCAGTAGCCCGGCTCTCTCCCTCATCGTCCCATTCTATAGTAGTAACCCCTGAACTCCCTGGAATCGAGAAGCTGCCTTGTGAGCAAACCTCCCTCTCTCCATTCTTCATCCAAGAAGAACAGTCTTTCTTCTGCCCCAACACTTACCTGACAGACATGGTTTTTCTGTGGGCTCAGCCTCCAAATCTGGGTTTGGTGATAAAATTATAGTAATTAGCTGTACAGAAAATCAAAGCTTTTGTGTTACAGTAAACTTTTGAAAGAATTTTGTGGAGTTCAAATTCATTGGAACTATACTATGAATTCGTGGTTCTAGAAGCATCCTTTCCTAGCTCTTGCCATGGGTATGAAATATGTTTATGTCCCTCACCAACACTCATGTGGGACAATCTGGCATGCGTACTCCAGTGTCCAAATTCTAGTCTTTATTTCTATTCTCCATTCAAAGTAGCTGGTTCTACATATTGGGTCAAGAACTGGATTTTATTTGAAGGGAGTCAGAAAAATTAGAAGCTTTCTTTTTCTAGTACTAGAGATTGAACTCAGATCCTTTTATTAATTTTTTTCTACTTTTTATTTTGAAACAGAATCTCATCAAGTCAGTGTTGCCCGGCATAGGCTTGAATTTGCAATCTTCCTGTCTCAGCCTCCCAAATAGCTGAGACTACAGGAGTGTGCCCTGTGCCCAGAAAGATGCTTTTAAAATGTATGTTATAGGCCTGAAAATACAAAGGTCTCAAGCAACCAACATGTTAAAATTTAAACATCAAAGGATAATCATAAGTAATTGAGACAAGTTGAGTTTGTAGAATTCCCTTCTGTGGAATTTGGAAAGCTGATTTTATTACCTATATGGAAAAGCAGAGCCCCAGAAGTAGCAAAGATTTCCTGCAGAAGAGGGAGGGGCATTGCCCAAACCGACAAGAAAACATATATGAAACTATTGTGTTAACACCAAAGAAACAGATAGGATCTATGCCCAGAAGTTAGATTTATGACAGAGCTGGAGTGCAGATTAGTGGCAGACAATCAGTCTGTCCAATACACCAGGAAGAATCTGGTGTATTAACTCCAGCTAGAAGCAAAACAACATTATCTAAGCATCAGACAGCAAAATTCAAAAGCTACCAGTGGACTTCCAAGATAATTCCTAACACTTTGTGCATATTCAGTCAGAAATTAAAAGTTCAAGCAATTACAAAGTGCATAGGACAATCAGTTTCCCACAGGGTGAAACAAATTGTATCCCCAACATAAATCATACCAAAAAAACCAAACTAAGTATAGAAAACAAAACTATAAAAATATTAGAAGAAAATACAAAGGACTATCATGATAACTTCATGATTAGGAAAAAAATTTTAAAACAACTCAAAATTACAAAGCATAAAGGAAAAAAGAAATGATAATTTGACTAAATTCAAGCTAAGAACTTCTTGTTTATTGAAATAAATTGTGAAGGAAAAGATAAACTACACGCTGGGAAAAGATATATGTGACATGAATAGCACATAAAAATTATTATCTTTTATCAAATATAAGGAAAATATAAAGAACTTTTCTCACCAAATCACTAAGTTACCCAGACTGAACTTAAACTTGCCTCAGCCTCCTGAGTTCTGAGATAACAGCTGTATACCACCACGTTCTGGCACATGTGATCATAAAAACATGGAAACAACTCAAATGTACACTGATAGATGAATGTGGCAGAAGTTGCGAGTTGTTCCTTCCCCTGGGGTCTACCTCCCCTCCATTTAGGACCTCCGATGTTTAACTGGGTACATAGCCATTTCAAATGAAAATTATTATTTCCCAAACCTCCTTTTAGCTAGGTAGGACAATGTATTATGGTTTGGGTCGAGATGTCTTCTCACAACTCCTCATACAGTCCTAGGTGGCATTTTTGAAAATGGCTGAGTCTAGAGGGCGTGATTGTATTCATAGTGCAATGCTAGGATTAAGGGTTGGTGATTGATCCCTCAGTCCACTAATTGGTTCAGCACTGCCCTGGATACAATAAAAGGGACAGAAAGAGGCTTGTCTTTCCCTTGCTGCTTTTGCTACTGTGTAGGTGCCCTGAACTGTTTCTCCTCCTCAACCCCCTGCCCCTGCCATGGCCACTCTGCTTTGGAGCCAGCCAACTATGAGCTAAAACAACCAGAAGTAATGAGCTAAATAAACTCTTTTCCCTTTAACTTAGCATATCAGGCATTTTGTCTCAGCAATGAGAGAAAAATAACTAAGACATCATGTGACTAACTTCTTCCCAGTAAATTATAAGCAGAAGTGTGATTGAGTTGGAGATGCTTTTTGTAAGCTAGAATCAGAGGTGTTATGGTTTATATCTACATGTCACACAAAGCTTCATGTGATCATCGAGTGCTGTAATCATCAGTGGATTGGTCCAGTGTGATTTTTTAGCTCAATGCGCTGTTAGGAGGTGGGCCTGGCAGAAAAGGTGGGTCATGGGGGTGTGGCCCGGAGGGTGTGTCTCCATCCCTGTTAGATCCTTCTCTCTCCTCTGTGGCTGCCCTGACAGGAGCAACTCTCCTTCACCAGGCCCTCCTGCCATGCTCTTTCTTTGTGCAATCTGTCAACCATGGGCTGAAACAAGCCAAAATAAACCTCTTCTCCTTTAAGTTGTGGTGTTGGGTGTTGTGTCCCAGCAATGAAAAAATGACAAAGACAGAGGGCACGAGGCATTTCTCTGGAAAGGGACCCTGGGTCTTTTGGTGTGAGGGGAGACTTCCCTAAGGCCTGAACTACCAAAGATACTGAGTGAGGACTTGCCCGAAAAAGCTTATCACATAGCAATGTCTCCCAGCTCAAGGTTCTCCAGCAGGCCTATAGCCAAGGAAGCCAGTGCCTGCCATGTAAAGAGCTATTTTGTTCTTGTTCCTGGAAAAATATTTTAAATACCAAGGACCTAGCTCAGAAAAACAAAAAGTGACTTTTACAATGTACACTGTTTCCTGGGCTGTCCTATCTCATACATTGGCCCCCAACACCCCTGTCAAGGTCCAGGCTGGGTGAGGATCTGGGCCTGGCCAGCAAGTGCTGAGAAGGCAGCTTTTCTGCCTGCTGGATCACAGCATATAGAGAGCATCTATGGAGCTACAGAGAAGTGGGTGGCTAAGAGTGTGGCTGCTGGAGCCTCGGGCAGAAAGCAGTCTGGGTGGATGAGGCCAAAGCAGGTAGGTGCTTCATTCTACAAATGCAGGCCTGATGGGACTTTTCTGGCAGCTACCATGGAGCCTGGCCAGGGCTTGGCTGGGCTGGGCACTGTCTTTGCAGTCCTGTTGCCAGACCTCAGAGGTCTGTCTGGTCCGGTGAGTATGGTGGGTGGTGTGTGTGTCCTCATATATATGTCCAGCAGCTGCCCATGTCCCCATTCTTGGCATCCTCAGGCTCTAAAACCATGCATTAAGGCCTGTAACTCACTACACCAAAGATCTGCCAAGACCCCAGAGTCAGTTTCAGGGAGCTGGGATCTCAGGTATTTAGCAGAGGGGCGGCCAAGAGGGTACCCATGGGTGTAAGGGGGTATAAGGGACAGGTGTATATTGGATATGTAAAAAGGATGTGTCGTTATTATTTGTGCAGAAGTAAACAACTAGAAAAGTAGGGTTTGGTTTGCAAGGCTCCTTGGTATTCTCACCCAATATTTAAGAAGTGCATACTCTCACCAAGCATGTCATGAAGCTATGGTTACAAATTACAGTTTACCCATTGATATAGCCGTACATGTATGTGAGACTTCTTTTTACTTTGTGGTGCTGAGGGTGGAACTCAGGTATTGCATATGCTAAGTGCAATCAATATCATTGAGCTACACCCCCAGCCCTACATGAGACATTTTTGATAAAGACATTTATTATAGCACTATAGCAAAATGATTGGAACAACCTAAAAGTCCACCACCAGGGGGCTGGTTAAATCAGATATGGTACAACTGTATTATGAGCTTACCATTAAAAAGGGCAAGTGCTGGTACAAAGAGATCTCCAAAATTGTGTGTGTGTGTGTGTGTGTGTGTGTGTGTGTGTATGTGTGCGTGTGTTGAACCTGGGGCCCTTTTTAGTTTTTGAGACAGGGACTCACTAGATTGCCCAGGCCAGGCTTGAACCTGTGATCCACCAACCTTAGCCTCCCAGAGTGCCTGGCTCTAGGGTGTACTGTTAAGTGAGAAAGGCAAATAGGCACACCATCCCACAGCCTTTGTACACAAAAGTGAGTATACACGCAAGCACTTGTATGCACACAGCCCATAACCAGAAGTATGCACAAGAGACTGACCACACCACGGTTGTTCTTACAAAGGTGAGCTGGGGAACTTAGAGAAGGGATCACACTCTTCTGCACTGAATGAATTTTAAAATTGTGTTTATGCATCTCCTGGATTTACCAAGTATTAACATTTCCAAAAAGAGGACTTGGAATCCATGGAGTCTGTATATATGACCCAGAGAATATAGACTACTGGGTGAAAGGTTACCATCTGCTGCCTCCCAGCATCTGGGGGCGTCGGTGTTCAGAAGAGTAACTGTGCCGGGACCATGCAAGTGGAAATGTGGCTGCCAACCAGAAGGTGGCACCACAGAGAACAGGCCTGAGGCTCAGCGGGGCAGCGGGTACTCCAAGAGCGAAGCTATCCTTTTACAGAAACGCACAAAGGCTTTTGCACCTGCTGTGCCCTTCCATCCGTATGCTGAGAGCCTAGGTCCCAGAGATCTCTGAGCTCGAGGCTAAATCTGGCCACAATTTAGGTAAAGTGAGAGATCAAATTAAGCAACTACTCATGATTTAAAAGTTAAAATTTAAAAAGCCACGACCTCAGAGCAAGCTGCTGAGCAAGCCAGGCCCCCAAAGAGATGCTTCAGAAATGACTCGTGCCTGGGAAGCATGGTGGCCATGAGGCTGGGGCTCCCGAGGGACCCTCTAGAGGAGCCGGTTTGGAAGTGCGAGTTCTGGCTTAGGGAGCCCGGCCCTGGCCCGGAGTGGCACGCAGCTCAGCTCTTCTTGCGAAGCTGGCTGTACAGCGCGCGGCCCACGGGGGGCTCCATGACGCTGGGCCGGAAGAAGCTGTCGCTGACCCTGCGCGCGGGCTTCTCTCGGGGTGCAGCCAGGAAGGGGACCCTCTAGAGGAGCCGGTTTGGAAGTGCGAGTTCTGGCTTAGGGAGCCCGGCCCTGGCCCGGAGTGGCACGCAGCTCAGCTCTTCTTGCGAAGCTGGCTGTACAGCGCGCGGCCCACGGGGGGCTCCATGACGCTGGGCCGGAAGAAGCTGTCGCTGACCCTGCGCGCGGGCTTCTCTCGGGGTGCAGCCAGGAAGAGC